ACTGATTTGTTAAACCTGTTAAAGGAAATAGATCACTTTTAACATGGGGTTTTGAACTGGAATAGCAGTTTTGTAGTTTGAACTGAGACTAGCACAAATCAGAAGCTTTTATGGCCCAACGATCACTCTAAGCCAAGATATTCAATTTCCCGTTCCAAAAACAGTGTCTTAGGCAGGAATTCGTGTCTTGCGTATATTTGCATCCAGTATGAAAAGAGCATGGGTCCTGAAAATTCTTCAGAAACTAGAGAAACTATCTACGAGAATTCTAGAGGAATTTTCGTACTGACCAATAAGGACATTCAGGGAAACATTATCGCCCTAGCCAGTAAAACTAGTAAAAGGGCTAACTTTGCATGGTTCTTTAATGTGGGGGGAGGGGGGTGGCAACCCCCCCCCCCCCATGTGCGTTCTTAGGATGGAAAAATGGCATGTGCGGGCGAGGGTTAAAGTTTCGCCCCGATGGACCACTCTTTACCCATTTTTTTGCAGAAAACGATGAGTGGATCTATCCGACCCCCTAATAAGTGCGGGAGTTAATCTCTCCCAAACACCGGAAACAAACAGCTTCTCTCATCCGATAGCTCTGCGATATTCTTATTTGACCGAAACAAAGTTTCCTCTAAAACAATGAACACGTTTACCCGAAATAATAACCAGTAAAACGCCTTTTGGGCGAAGAACGAGCGAGCGAGATAGTTGGCCCTGCACGTGCGGAAGGGCGAGAGGGTACTTCCAACGGGGCTTGTGCAAAGCACCCTTCTAACCGGTCGCTAGCGGTGTGCCAAATTTGAACGCAATCGGCCCAGCCGTTCCTGAGATCTGGAAGCGGCATTCTGCACGTGCGCACGTGCAAATGGGGTCCAAACTGACTTTTGCACGGCACCCTACTAACCGGTCCCCAACCGTGTACCAAATTTGAGCGCAATCGGCCCAGCCGTTCTCGAGATCTGGAAACGCCCCCTGCACGTGCGCACGTGCAGTAGCACCCTAACCGCAACATATGGGAATGCATTGTCTGGTGGGTGCCTACCTGTATGCCAAGTTTCAGCGAAATCGCCCCAGTAATTACCGAGTTATTGAAATGGGAACAAATTTGGCACCTCTTCTTTTTGTATTTTGCACGTGCAGTGGGGGTCACTCACATAGATCAAGAGTACCCGACCTTTGGTAGAAGGGATGCAGCTACCCTACAAAAATTACCGCAAGACAATCGCCCAAGCGGCTGCTGAAATATGAGCCTTTCAAAATCACTACTTTTGCGAAACAGCTTGAACACCCTTGACTTTTCACGTGGCACGTGCCACGACGGTCACTGAGATGTGTCAAAAGTAGTCAATTACGGGGTAGAAGGGATGGGGCTACCCAGCAAAAAAGACCGCAGGCAAATCGGTCCAGCGGTTGCTGAGATATAAGCCTCTCAAAAGCGTTACAGGCCGGGCCGGGCCGGGCCGGGCCGGGCCGGGCCGGGCCGGGCCGGGCCGCTCATACTGAGATTTTTCCGTTATATTGAAAAGACTCACTTCGCTCGCTGCGCTCGCTCGCTCGTAATCATACCTCTCCGTGTTGAGCGTTTGATTGACTGAGGGGACGACCCACCGAAACGCTTCCTTCTCAAACGGATGGACTTTGTCCCTTTGGGGTGTCAGTCGGTGTTCGATTATAAGTTCGATGTCTGACCTCCTCGTCTTAGGCGAATCTGAAGTGTTCTCAATAGACCGAAAGAACTCAACCCAAGATACTCTCAGACGCCGACGGGGCCCTCAAGAGTCCACGGTGTGGGACCTAATCGGAGTTGCGGATGGGTGGCCGTCTACTGATGTGTATGGTCCTCAGACGCCGGTAGAGCCCTCAGAATCACTGGTGTATTTGTAGAGCCGACCCAGGGCCGGACGACATGGACGGACGGACGGACGGACGAACGGACGGACGGAGAGACTGACGGACGGATGGAGAAACGGACGGACGAATGGAGAAACGGGCGGACGGATGGACGGACTGAGAGACGGAAGGGCGGACGGACAGACGGAGAGACGGATAAAGAGATGGACAAACGGACGGGTAGAGAGAGAGAGAGAGAGAGAGAGAGAGAGAGAGAGAGAGAGAGAGAGAGAGAGAGAGAGAGAGAGAGAGAGAGAGAGAGAGAGAGAGAGAGAGAGAGAGAGACAGAGACAGAGAGACAGAGACAGAGACAGAGACAGAGACAGAGAGAGAGAGAGAGAGAGAGAGAGAGAGAGAGAGAGAGAGAGAGAGAGAGAGAGAGAGAGAAGGATAAGTATAGGTACATAGCTCCCGGTATGAAAGAAAAGACTAAGAGATATGGATATTACTTGTCAGAGACTTCAGGGAGGACGGCAAGGAGACTGATACCTACAGAGATTAACAGTAGCGGCGGAACACCTTCAATTAAGGGGGGGGCCTGCCGACTTTTGGTCCCATTCTTTCCATGCAACGCCCATAGGGCTTATGTTAAAATGCCAAAATCCAAGGGGGGACGGTGCCCCGTCCCCCGGTGCCCTCCCCGTTCCGCCGCCTATGGAGAGGAAAAATAAGTGAGCAAGGGATTTGAGAGATAGGTAAAGAGACAAGGGAGAAATGAGATTTGATTGCTCCGCTCCTAATAACACTTCCCAAAATAAAAAAAAATAATTGGCCGTAATTATCGAATAAGAATCGGAAATTGTCAATTGAACGTCTGATTCGCTTACATCAATCCGCCCTATACCATGTTTGACATGTTTGCACCAAAGCCAACTTGCAGGCTATAGCCTATATATCGAGCCAGTGGTATATACTATGCATAGCTCCCGGTGGTATACCTGCATATAGCCGAGACCTCCGGCCGTATTTTCCCACGATCAGCCGGATTGCAAAGTCGTGTATTTTTCGTCCGTGGCAGGCGGCCGGGGCAATGTCCGGGAAAGAAACGCTCCAGTAACAAAAGCACGAGATCGCCCAAATACCGGTGGCCGCAGGGGGATGTCGTCCCGGTTCTCCCCATGCATTATTCGCCAATCAGCTTAACACTACCAGTGACGTCACTGGAGGACCGCCAATCGGGGCCGTCCGGCCGGCCGGCCGGGCCCGTAGAAGGCCAAACGCAGACGTTTTCAGAAAAGCGTAAGCCGTATAGATACAGTCGCGGATGGAGTTTTGCTGTGATTCGGCTCTCCAAGAGTGCGTCAGCGGACCAGGACCCGGATAAAGGTCATAGTGAACCAGCGTCTGCCAAAATCCGCTCACGGCTTAGCAACCGACTTCGACCCTTCGCCCTCGTAAAGCACAAAAGCTTGCCGGTCATCAATCCACCTGCATCTCTGCATCTGCTTACTACCTTTATCGACCAGTTACTGCAGCCGTTTTGGGGCGGCTCACGGGCGATAACACGCCGGGCGTGCGCTAGCCGCCGGTGCTGAGCGCTAACCATTGAGTGCGCATGGCCGACTGCCGCCCGATGGCGCTGGCCCTCGGCACCGACACCGGCGCGGCGTCACTGACCCATGGGGGGGGGGGAGGCCGCTGCTAATTAGTTGAGCCGGAATTGGGATAGAAGCCGGTATGGGATTGGGATAGCAACTCAGCGAGACTAAGGGATTGTGTTGTGCCTTCGGTAGGCCCCCAAAAATTACCGGTATAGTGCCCTCAGGGCCGCCGGTTATGAAGCCTTTGGAGGCACTGGTGTGGGCCCTCACGTAGGTACCGGTGTGAGGCCCTCAGAGGCATTGGTGCGGGGCCCCAGAGGTGCCGCTGTGAGCCCTCAGAGGCGCCGGTGAGGGTCCTCACAGTTGCCATTGTGGGCCCTCAGACACTGCATTGTGGGGTCATCACAGTCGGGTGTGGGACACTTAGAGCTGCTGGCTCGAACCCTTTATAAGCCGACAGGGCTCTCAGAGACCGACAAGGGGTCCTCAAGATGTCTGCGGTGTCTTCAGGAGCCCTGTGGAGTCCTCAGAGACCAGCAAGGTACTCTCAGACGCCGGTGGGGGGCCCTCAGAGTCGTCGGTGTGGGGCCCTCAAAAGTCACCGGTGAGTGGCCGTCCGATGCGAAGCGGTGGCCGTCCGTCTTAGGCCGTCAGAGGCTCCGGCGTTGAGCGGAGCCGCCGATATATGGCCTTAAGAAGCACTGGTTTGGGCCTTTGGAACTTCATTCAGGGGTGCCGGTTGAACTCAGAGGTGGCAGTGTGGGGCCCTCAGCCGGGCACCGGTTTGGGGCTTTCACAGTCGCCGGTGAGGGCCCTCGCAAGCGCCGTCGTGGGGGCCTTCAACCATTGGTTTAGACTTTAGGGGGTCATCACAGGCGTGTGTGGAACCCTTAGAGCTGCTGGTCCCTGATAGGCCGGTAAGGGCCCTCAGAGGTCGGCAAGTAGCCCTCAGAGGTCGTCAATGGGCCCTGAGAGGCCGGCAAGGGGCCCTCAAATGCCGACAAGGAACAATAGAAAGCCGGTGTGTGGCTCTTATGGAGAGAAGTGTGGCTATTCAGAGCACATAAGGTGTTCTTTCGAGCCCTGTGGGGCCCTTCTGAGTCGAAAATGCCAGCGTGGACCCTCAGCCGCCAATTGGCGTCGCAGGGCCCCTCGGCCCGAGAGGCCCCCTGATCCGATGGGGGCACGTGCCCCCTGCCTCCCCCCTCCGGGTGCAGATAGAGAATGCAATCGGCGGTGCGGGACACAACAATTGCAATCGTTCCTTCTCCCGTCGCGAGGTCGCCCATACGACCCATATCCCAAGATTGTCAACCCTGGGGCTCGGGTCGGCAATGTATCGGCAAGGAAATAAGCTTTAGGTGAGTAAAAAAGTTATTAAGAGTCATTAGTGGTCGTTACGTCAAGTAATAACAACGATAAAGTGCCAAATGTACCCGTCGTACGGCTTGGAGCCGGGCGCCGCGAGGTCTCCACCAGTGACGTCACGCTAACGCTTAGCGACCGGTCCATTGGAAATTGCGGGATGATTCTACCTCTCTTATACGGCCTTGGGTGGCCGCGATAATTTCTCTAGTCTCTGAAGAATTTTCGGGACCCATGCTCTCTTTTCATACTGGATCGCGTGTGCCTTACAGGGGTCATTTCCTCCTATATTAAAATATAGAAAATAATATTTCATATTAAAAGGTTTTATTTTCTTTGCTGATCATTTTGAGCATAAAAAATCATAAATCCATTGCAAAAAAGTAATTTCGTGAAAGTGAACTATTTCCCCTAAACGTCTAGACGATTTACAAACTATTAAACGTCTAGTAGAATTTGGTCTAGTCTGAAATATGTCGCTTTGTTTATATAAAATGTATTTTTTACCTTAAACCCGCGCCCTGCTGGGAGGGGAGGGGTGTTTGAACACCCCCTGCAGTTTTTCGCGAATATATCAGAAACGGCTGCGCGAAGCGCCGCCGTTTTTAGTACACCTTATCATACATCTTTTTTACATATGTTGTGAAAATTTTAGACCCAGGTCACTTAAGGTTAGGTCACCAGGTCAGTTGAAGTGACCTCACTAGATCAAGAGTTTCAATGTCTGCCAAAGCTACACCGATCGGCTCCATGATCCCATCCGTATCGAACACACTGAACACACGATGCGAAATTGATGTATGATAAGCTATGCCAAGTTTCATGGAGCTCCTTGCCGCGATGTTCTTTGCACACGCCAAAAAAAAAACTGGAGATTGTGCCACCCACCCCCCTCCCCGAGGGGTGAGGGTTATCACCTAACCGTATTTTCGGGGAAGCAGTCCAGCAGTCCAACAAAGTTATTTCTTGTTGCCTGACCAGTGACCAGTCGGCATTGGACTGCTTCCAGGAGATGACAGTCAAGCCAGGGCGGCACGGTGGGCACAAGGAGGCTGTGCTGGTAAGTACTGAGATGGCAGCCAGGCCAGGGGGCGCGGTGGGTGCAAGGAGGCTGGGCTGGTAATGAATTGATAAGCTTGCCAAACCCAGTGCTCCAGTGAAGTTTAGACGTGTACATTTGATTCACTTGACGTAAGTATCGCGGTGGCTGTGGTATCTGTGTAGTGTGTACTGTCCCGACTATGTAGGCCTCAGTAAATATTCTGCTGTTTTTGAATACCGTTTTTCGTGTTCACTTTATGTTGGCGGTCCCAACACAAACTCTGAATTTTCTTTCTTTCTTTCGTAATCGTGGTTCAACGTTAGTCCGCGGTTCCGAAATCTGTACCGTGTCTACTTTACTTTTGTGTCGCCTGGCTCTATGTTCGCGTACAGTACCCCCCCCCCCCCCCGTCCCCCGTGCTTCTGTCATTCTCGTTAACGTGCGGATAAAGGTTTCTGTCATTCTGGATAACGAGTGATCGCTCTTCTGTCCCCGAGTTTCTGTCATCCTCGGTATCGTTCGGAGAGTAGTAAAAAATTCGTGGATCTTTATCTTAATCTTGTTTTAATCTGTTTGACTGACTGACAAGCTCAGTAGCGACCAAAAACGCAGTTACTATTTTGGATCGACCCCTATCCCCGAGTTTGTCATTCTCGATAACGTGCCTAGTAGGCACGTTGTACGTGCCTAGTAGGCACGTACAAAGGAACAATAAGTAGGCACTGCCTACTTATTGTTCCTTTGTACCCTGCGCTTCTGTCATTCTCGGTAATGTGTGGTCGCTCCCCTCTCCCTGCGCTTCTGTCATTCTCGATAACGTGTGGTCGCCTCCCTGTTCACAGCCAGTGCCGGAACCGGGAGCGGAGACGCCCTTTGAGAGGACTGACGCCGATGGCTATCACAGGTATTTTGCGGCTGACTGCATATTTGGCTCGGCCTCTGGCTGGCTGTTTTGGGCACGGAATGCATAGCAACGCGATTATCGCCACGGGTAAGGGGTCTGATGGTATAACAGCTTTTTGCCCTTTCAGCTGGTGTTTGCATGAAAGCTGAAAACCGAATGTGGACGATAAATTTATTTTGGGCATACAACAGACTGGCATTTGACGCTGGCTACGGCGTGGACAGGCGGGTAACTGACCAGAGGCCTGGGGCCTGGTCGGTAACGCATTTATCATAATGACAAGTCGCACGCTCTACTAACGATTTCACTTGAACATAAGACACAACACCAATTTAGCGTTCGGTCACACTGCCGGCCAGTGGCCGGGCTGGGCTCCGTTCGTGGTCGATATCTCCGTGTACCTCCCTCGGCCCGGTCCCTGCACTGACGCCGTCACCGCTGCCCCGGGTCGGCCGTCGCCGGCCTCAGGTCAGCTGCGGCTGGAAGCCCGACTGAAGTGTGTCACACATCGGGTCGCTTTTGGGCTCGAACAGCTCGTGCTCGCTCTTGCAGTCGACGAACTGGTAGCAGGGGTTCTGGCGCGAGCGGAGGCCCTCGGCCGGGCAGCGCAGCGGCACGAACGTGCTCTTGTGCACGGTGCGCAGGTCCATGGGCGAGCCGGACTGCTGGCCGGAGCGGGGCACGAAGGCGGTCGGCCGGCGGCCCGGGCAGCCCACGAAGTCGCCCTTGTACGTGGTGTCCGTGTCCAGCGGCCGCTCCGGCGGTGCGTACTCGCGGTCCGGCTTGCACGAGACGGCCACGTCGCGCTGGCGCGGCACAAAGTCCTTGCGGTAGGTGGTGGCGTCGAGCAGCGGCGAGCGCTCCTGGACGGGTCCGGCGGGCGGCCGCGCCGCCGGCGGCCGCCGGCCCGCCTTGGGCCCGAAGTCGCCGCGGTATATGGTGTCCGAGTTGAGCGGCGCGCACGGGCCGTCGTACGGCTTCTTCTTCATCCAGGGGTACTCCTCCCTGGGCCGCGGCCCGTACACCTGGAACGACTCCTTCTGCGTGGTGCGGTCGTCCATGGGCTGGCACGGCTGCTCGTACTGCCGGTTGGGCTTGAAGCTGGCGTTGACGTCCGGGCACTTTGGCGTGTAGTGAGTGCGCTGCGTGGTCTGTCCGTCCATGGGTACGGTTGGCGGCTGCCAGGGCGGCAGGCGCACCGTCTCCATGCACGGCGGCTGCTTGGCCGGGTAGTCGTGCCGGTACATGGTGCGGTCGTCCAGCGGCTGGTCCGACTTGTGCGTGTCGTGCGGCGCGCGCACGCGGTTCACGCAGATGGGCTTTCGGCAGTAGTCGGTGCGGTTGGTGGTGTCGGCGCTGAGCGGCTGCTCCACGCCGTGCAGACCCTGGCGCGGCCGGCACGCCGCCGGCTTGGCCTCTGCCGCCTCGCCGGGCGCGTACGGCCGGAACGAGACGCGATTCTGCGTCTTGTCGCAGAGCGGCGCGCGGTGGTCGGTGACCCTGCCCTGCGGTTTGATTGGTGAGCGCTTGCTGCCGGCACGCGGCGGGAAGTCGACGACGTAAGTGGTCTCGGCCTCCAGCGGCTGGCACGGACCGCGGTAGTCCAAGTCGGGCTTGAATGCGGGTGGTCGCGGCGCAGTGCGCCCTGTGAAGTCCTGTCTCTGAATCGTTAGGTCCTCCATGGGCTCCTTGACTGGGTCGGCACTTTTTGCTGGCTTGCAAGATGGCTGGCGACCGTCACCCTTCGGATAGAATTTCTCCTTGTATTCTGTGGACTGCTTCTCGGATGGAGTCATCTGCCATTCTTTCTGGTGATAGGGACAGGAATGGCGACCGCACATACAAATTTGGCAGATACATTTGAGACCCTTTTTCATCTGAGTGTGGCAAGGAGGCCCACCGTCGCCGCGACCTCCGTTAGGCATGTTGAAATGCTCTTGCTAGGCTTACAGTAGATTCAATGCAAATACTTGTCTCGCAGACCTTACATCAACATGAAGTACAGAGGGGTCGTCAGAAAGATGTTCTAATGTCGCTACTTAGATGTTACTTTGCGGGTGCTTGGCTATGCCAGTAGCAACAACCTACCCTAAGCAGACCCGAAAGAGTCAAAACTTCGATTAAAATGCTAATTAAATGCATCCATAGTTCAAGCGTTCATTATTCCCGGAGCGCCTTTTTGTGCGATTTGACTTGTCTGCTGATTTGTATTTGTTTCATCGCACGCGATTTAATGAGAGCGACCACTTGCATTCCGATGTCTGCAATGGCACTGTAATCTGTGTACATTATTTTGCCATCGGATGCCCATCGGTATCGATGACAGAGCGTCGGTGGCAAACGCTGGTCTATGCCGCACTCTGTCCGGCGGCACTAATACTCATGGCGCCGAATCAAGGAAGTAGGTGAGAGAGAAAAAAATACAACTCAGTAGCTGAAAGAATATACGATGTGTACCGCCTTTCAAAATTATAGGTTGGGCTTCGCGAACAATGACTTGTGATTATACTGTTTGTGGGTACGAACGTTGAACTTGTTGTTAGTCTCACTGAACTTGGATAAACTTGCGAATCCGCAATCATTATAGCTTGACATTCTATAGGATTTGGTTATGTTTTGCCCTATTAAAAATTCAGCTCAATAGCTATGTCTGTAAATCCGTTTACTGTGTGCAGTAGCAGGTACACCTTGGGCTTGCATTTTCATTTGTACGGTGTCACATATGAATTATTTGGGAAAACCCAAATGGTGTGCGAGATGTGGGGAAAAGTAGTCGGTAAAACGTCCCGCTGCCAGTAGGGTGTCGGTGGGGGGGGGGGGGGGGGGGTCGTCCCGTGTTACAGCTGCGGTTACTGACGGCCGCTATCTGTCCCCTCCCGCAGGGTATCGGCCGTGCGCCGCCGCCCGCCCCCGGTCTGCGTGTCCCTGACGCTGCTGACCGCTGCTGTCTGTCTCCCTGCCGCAGGGTATCAGCCGTCCGGCGCCGCCTGCCGCCGGTCTGCGTCTCTCTGACGCTGCTGCTGGCCACCGCTGTGCTGGTCGTCCTGCTGCCCGGCGCCGAGGTGGCGCGGCCCCGGCAGCGGCTCGGCTCCTGCAGGTGAGCTGGTGTAACCAGCAGGGGCCTAGCCGACCCTCTGTGTCACAGTGAGGACCGCTCTACGGTCATATTCTAGAGTTATGGTCGCTGTCCCCGTTCACGATATGCTGTCTGACACTGTGCTGACTCGTTGTGCTGGCTCGTCACGGCGTCAGCTCGCTGTGCTGACGCCGTGACTCACTGTGCTGACTCGCCATCCTGACTCGCGTTGTTGACTCACTGTGCTGACTCGCCATCCTGACTCGCATTGTTGACTCACTGTGCTGACTCGCCATCCTGACTCGCATTGTTGACTCACTGTGCTCTCTCGCCGTCAGTGTGGCCAAATTTGTGATGTTGCGGGGAAAGTCACCCCCAATGAAAAGTATAATGACATCCTCAGAAATTTTAAAATTACATCATCACATACCTAGTGAAGGAATAAAGACTAAAAATGTTCCAATGTACGATTCACACCGTCATACTCGTACTGTCGCGCTTGCAATGTTTTTCATCTTTGATGACAATATTTGATTTTTTTTTGTTTACTTTCCACCAGAGCTTGACGTCAGGTATAGTTTTTCCACATAACTTGTAAAAACTGCACCTAAAATGACACTGAAGACGAGTTTTTTTTTTTTGAAAATAGTGACATCCTCATACGACTTTTTTATACATCCTCCCCCTAACGCTAAACCAATTTGGCCACACTGCTCGCCGTCCTGACTCGCATTGTTGACTCACTGTGCTGGCTCGCCGTCCTGATTCGCGCTGTTGACTCGCTGTGCTGGCTCGCCGTCCTGATTCGCGCTGTTGACTCGCTGTGCTGGCTCGCCGTCCTGATTCGCGCTGTTGACTCGCTGTGCTGGCTCGCCGTCCTGATTCGCGCTGTTGACTCACTGTGCTGGCTCGCCGTCCTGACTCGTTGAGCCGACTCTCGGTGCTGTGCTGACTCGCTGTGCCGCCCCTCCCCTGTGCTGAGACAGCATCACGCTGGCGGAGAGCATTCCCATCGGTCTGACGTTCAACTCGAGCCTGGAGCTGCCGACCACGTATGACGCCTGGAAGCAGCTGCTGGGCATGGCCGGCAGCTCGGTCAACATCGCCTCCTACTACTGGACGCTGCTGGGGGCCGACGTGCAGCCCGACCCCACAGCCGCCCAGGTAACAGCCCGACCCCACAGCCGCTCAGGTACCAGCCCGACCCCACAGCCGATCAGGTAACAGCCCGACCCCACAGCCGCCCAGGTAACTATCGGCCCGACCCGCTCAGGTAACAGCCCGACCCCACAGCCGCCCAGGTAACAGCCCGACCCCACAGCCGCTCAGGCACCAGCCGACCCCACAGCCGCTCAGGTACCAGCCCGACCCCACAGCCGACCAGGTAACAGCCCGACCCCACAGCCGACCAGGTAACGCCCGACCCCACAGCCGACCAGGTAACTGTCAGCCCCCCCCCCCCCCCCATCAGGCGCTCAGGTAACGCCCGACCCCACAGCCGCTCAGGTACCAGCCCGACCCCACAGCCGCCCAGGTAACTGTCAACCCGACCCCACAGCCGACCAGGTAACTGTCAACCCGACCCCACAGCCGCCCAGGTAACTATCGGCCCGACCCGCTCAGGTAACAGCCCGACCCCCAGCCGCTCAGGTAACAGCCCGACCCCACAGCCGCTCAGGTAACTGTCAACCCGACCCGCTTAGGTGACAGGCCGACCCCACAGCCGTCCGTGATCGCCGGGAATGGGAGGTCGACTGACCTGTTCGCCGCCCAGGCTTCCACGAGACTCGGGTGATACCTCGGGATCAGGCAAAGTGAGATGATAGGCAGAGGACGTCCGCTGCTCGTTAGATACGAAAGCCTCTTTGCTGAGCCTTTTATCCAAGTTTTGCCCGCTGAGTTTGTTTCAACACTCTGTGTCCTACATGCATGATTGGCCCGTGGCCGTGCCTAATTGCATGCGCTTTATGGTCCCTTGTCACTCGCATGTGACGCCCGGTACACTGTGCCCTGCCACTCCCGTCTGACGGCCGGCCTCCCGGCACGCCGGCAGGGTGAGGACATCTTCCAGCGTCTGATGGACACGGGTCTGCGCTCCGACATCGACATGAAGATCGCCCGCAACGTCATCAGTTCGGTGGACTACACGAGCAACGACACACAGCTGCTGGCCGCCGCGGGCGCCGCCGAGGTACGTCCGTCTCCGCCCCCCACAGCGGGCCCCAACCCCCTCCGCCGGCGCCGCCGAGGTACGTCCGTCTCCGCCCCACAGCGGACCCCAACCCCCTCCGCCGGCGCCGCCGAGGTACGTCCGTCTCCGCCCCACAGCGGACCCCAACCCCCTCCCCCCCCCCCCTCCGCCGGCGCCGCCGAGGTACGGCCCTGAGCTCACAGCAGGCGCAGGGGCTCGGTGGGTGCCACTGATTGAGCCGCGAGGTGGTCCGCGCCAGATGACCAGTTCACCCTGGGTAGATTGTCTGCCGATAAGAGCAGCACCATAGGATGCAAATGGTATTTAGAAGTCGTCCGTTTCATGTCGTATGTGGCTCCATTGACGCTACAGCTCAGCACGGTGACTGAGTTTGTCTGTTGTCCCCTGTCCCGGCCAGGTGCGCTACCTGGACTTTGACCGGCTGGTCGGCGCCGGCATCCTGCACACCAAAATGTGGGTGATCGACTCCAAGCACTTCTTCGTGGGCAGTGCCAATACCGACTGGCGCTCGCTGACCCAGGTGAGGCGCCAGGAGGGGACAGCACCCCTCATCCATACTGCGTCCTTTACCGGCCCCACACGGCAGTCGACACGCGGGGACGGGCCCCGTACAGCGGCGGTGGGGAGCTGGGACTAACGGTCCGCCGGGCTGGCGTGTACGCCCCGACCGCACCTGGGCTATTGCGGCTCAGTGGTTGTTACGTGGATTTGTTACCGCGAGTCCAATGTGATTTAGTATATAGCCGTCATATTCGTCCGAATAACAAATCATACCTCCACGTGAATGCCGGTATATAGTCCTGGGTTCTATTACATGGACGTGAGTTCCTATCCTGACAACTTGCAACAAAACGTGTTTTGAAATCGAGAAAGTCCATTTAACTTTAATGTCAAATCGATTTTGTCTTGAACAACTTGAGAGCCCTTGGAGTTTCGCTTCACATCTGGTTTTAGATTTTGTCCTGTTTGAGTCTTTGACTGACCAGAGTCTGATCCCTGAACTCCCCTCCCCCTCAGGTGAAGGAACTGCCCCCCCCCCCCCCCCCCCTGGTCTGATACTGTGCCCTTGTGACTGACCAAAGTGGGATCCCCGTCCCTCAGGTGAAGGAAATGGGCGCCCTGGTCTGATACTGTGCCCCGTGTGACTGACCAGAGTCTGATACCCCCATCAGGTGAAGGAAATGGGCGCCCTGGTCTCAGAATGTGACACGCTGGCTGCCGACATGGAGAAAATATTCCAGGTGAGAACGAGTGAATCAGACCTCTCTCTCTCTCTCTCTCTCTCTCTTTCTCTCTCTCTCTCTCTCTCTCTCTCTCTCTCTCTCTCTCTCTCTCTCTCTCTCTCTCTCTCTCTCTCTCTCTCTCTCTCTCTCTCTCTCTCTCTCTCTCTCTCTCTCTCTCTCTCTCTCTCTCTCTCTCTCTCTCTCTCTCTCTCTCTCTCTCTCTCTCTCTCTCTCTCTCTCTCTTTTTTGGACGTGTAGACATATGGCTCTCTTGTCGATGTTTGTGACAGCAGGTGTTACCGTTCGTTCAGGTGTACTGGAGGTTTACTGTGACAGTGTTACCGTCCATTGAGGTATACTGGCTGGTGGGTGTGTTATTGTGAGTGTGTTACTGTGTAACACACTAACACTATAACAGTGAGTGTTATACAGTGGGTGACACTGTATAACAGTGTTACCCTCCATTTAGGTGCACTGGCTAGTAGGGGTGTTACTGTGTGCTACCCTCCGTTCAGGTGCATTAGCTGGTGGGGTGTTACTGTGAGTGTGTTACCGTCCGTTCAGGTGTTACCGTGACAGTGTTACCCTCCGTTCAGGTGTACTGGCTGGTGGGGTGTCAGTGTGACAGTGTTAACGCCCGTTCAGGTGTTCCTGTGTGATACCCTCCGTCCAGGTACAGGGTGTAACGAAATTATCCGGACATCTATTTTTTCGCCATATCTGCTCGCACAGTTTCTTTTTTAATGTTAGAAGCTGGAAAATTGGATGAATGCATACCTCTGGTATCTGCTCTCAACTCAGCAGTGACCTGACCTTGCGAAATGACTCTTGCTCTGTGTAAGAGTCGAGTCGCCGACGGGTTCATTTGATAGTTTTCGTTTAAGGCAGTGGAGAGAAGGGAGTACAGTCTCTCGTTTCGTAGTAAGGCTACGTGTTCGTGGCATGGTGGCATGAGCCAGAAGCTGGTCTGTCAGCAGCTGGACATCAGCAGCAGCCAGTAGCACATCTGCCTGAGGCGTAATAGGCTGGGACTTGGTGGCAGACTCAGCCCGGCCTCGATCGCAAAAGGCGCCCTTTGCCAAGTGGTGAGGAGAGTTGTCAGGATAGCGACAAGGAAACGGCACCAATTAATTCGCAAACTGACTCGAATTCTTACCAAGGCAGATAATAAGAGGTCCCATATCATGATTCACCGTCACCCGCCCTTTAGCTTGGTTTTACTGCCCTTCAAACTGAAAAAGACAATGAAATTGACGGGAAAACAACCAGTCCACCACCTTTGGCCTCAGGCCATGGCGTGTCCACTGGTCGAAGGAAGACATGAATGAGGTGGCCTGGTCGGATGGGACGCTGTTCGAGCTGCGATGTCCGTTGAACCGTCAAATCGGCCATGTGTGGGCTGCCAGCAGCTCGAACATGCCGGCCGTCGCCGGCGTCAAACATCCGGCCAAAATCCAGACCTGGAGCATGTTCAGCTGCTGTGCAATATTCAAGTTGTTCATGACGCCACAGAAAACCACTATCAGTAATGAGTATTACCGGCGCAACATCCTGGCTAGCGATTGGTTGGAGCCACTCAGCCAGACGGCACAGGAGGGCTCGGTTTCTGAACGCGTGCTGATGCCTGATTCAAGCCGCGCAGTCTTCATGCGGGGCGGCGCACCACCTTCAAGTCCCTAGCAGAATGAGAAGTGATGCCGAGAGGGCCTATTGTTCATCTGGCTAACGGGCTATGGCTTGGAAAAGTTCCCATCCCAATTCCATCGATATCTTATGGACTATTGTCCAGCAGGAGATGAATGAGGGGACACCCACCACCAGCGCCGCCCAACTGTGGGCACAGGTTAGTAAGGCGCTGCTCTACATGAAACCCACTGTGCTGGAAAACCCAGTGGCTGGAATGCTCCGAAAATTTGTACCTGCGCTCTTATGAAAGGTGGCTATATAATAATTCAAAAGAGAAAATATCAGATTGTCTTGCTTCTTAATTACAGCGCGAAGAAAGATGTCCGGATAATTTCGTTACATCCTGTATACTGCAGGCTGGTAGGGGTGTCACTATGTTACCCTCCATCCAGGTGTACTGGCTGGTGGGGTGTCACTATGTTACCCTCCATCCAGGTGTGCTGGGGTGTTACTGTGAGTGTGCTACCCTCCGTCCAGGTGTACTGGCTGGTGGGCGCCGAGAACGCCACCATCCCGGTCGAGTGGCCCGAGGAGTACCACACCACCATCAACAAGGAGAGCCCGCTGCCGGTACAGCTGCCCGGAGGCCCGGCGCGCGTCTACCTCTCGGTAAGGACGCCGCGTGACGCGCTAGGTATTTATAGGGCTGGTCTGGGTATTTCTCGTGCGCGTTTAGAATCCAGAATGTCTTGTTGGTGTAACCTAGCTTACTCTGTCGCGGGATTTGCCTTGACCTTTCTGGGTCACCAAGTCAGCTTGCCAATAAGGTTCCCGTTATGGTGCTGTTCGGTCGGTTGGTGCTGATCTGTCCTGCCCCGAGGTCCCGTCGTATGCCCCCAGAGCTCTCCGCCGCAGTCCACCGGCCGGAGCTGCAGATCTGTCCCGTGGGCCGGAGCTGCTGATGTGGTCTCGCCGGCCGGAGGTGCTGATGTGTCCTGTCCCGCTATGTTCCCAGAGCTCCCCGCCGCAGCTGTGCCCGCCAGGCCGGAGGTGCTGATTTACCCCGTCCCGCTATGTTTTCCCAGAGCTCCCCGCCGCAGCTGTGCCCGCCGGGCCGGACCGGCGACGGAGACGCCATCGTGGACACCATCAACTCGGCACGCCAGTTCATCCACATCGCCGTCATGGACTACTACCCGATGCTCATCTATGACCAGTTCACGTACGGTCCGAGCGTCCTGGTGCTGCGGAGGGGGGGGGGGGGTTCGGAGAGTTACAGAGGGCACCCGGGGACCGCTGAAGGCACCCGGGGACCGCAAAGGGCTCCAGGAGACCGCACAGGGCACCAGGGGACCGCTGTTGGATAGGTTCTCGGCTGATGCTGAGTTTTCATTCCGGCGTAGAATATTTTGTGACAGGATCAAGGCTTGCCAATACCATTGTTGCTTTTCAAAAAAAAAATCAAGGTGTTTGTCTATCGTGAATGTGTTCCTTTTATGTACCTTCATTGTCCACCACTATCCTCCAGTGTATCCATCTCCCAATGACCGACATTGCCCCCCCCCCCTTCCCCATTCCTTCAAATTGTTCAGACAGTGTGTTACCCCTCCCTGCGTGTGCGGCCGTTCTCTAGCACTGCCTGTCTTTGTCCGCCAGTTTTTGGCCGGTGATTGACGACGCGCTGCGGCGCGCGGCCGTCGACCGCGGCGTCTCGGTGCGCCTGCTGGCCAGCGTGTGGAACCACACGCATGACGACATGCTGGCGGGCCTGCGCTCGCTGCAGGCGCTCGACGCCGTCCGCTCCCACGTGCACATCCAGGTGGTGAGTGACGCGGCGCGGGCGGCGCGGGCGGGGCGGGGCGCACCGCCGGACCTGAGGGACGGAGGTGGAGGGGGGGGGGGGGGGGCGGTGAGAGGTGGTTCACGATCGTGTCCAGACGGCGAGTCTGGTGGAATCGGCGCCGTCTGCCGGATGCGACTCACTAGCGAAATGTGATTGTAGGTAGATGACTGGGGGACGAATAATGGGCGATTGTGAATAGTCAATGATGATAATAATCGATTCCTTGATAACGACCTGTCCCCATCGGCAGCTCCTTTAGGATGGCAGACTCAACGTCATGTCGAACTATTGGTGTCCTGACTGTGTTTTTTTCTTCTTCTTCTTTTTGCATACTGCGGGTCGATACCATTTTATATGGACATCGCCGATAATCGTTAATTAACGTTGGCGTCGCCGGCGCCTGCGTGGTGTGATGAGCCTGAACTGAGGGGCCGGACCTACCCGTCTCTTACCTCGGTATCCGGGAGGATTTGGCGTAGTGCGGCCTCGACCTCCGCCAGCTCCTATTGCGTGTGTTCCAGCTCTCCCTAGCTGAAAGACGCCGGAGTTGACGGAAGGAGACGAAGGAAAAATAAGAAAGAAAAAAAAACGAAAAACATGAGCGGCCGCCGTCTGACGTGCCACTCGCGCACTGGAGGCGCCCGGCGGCCGGCGCAGTGTCCTCGCCAGGCCGGGCGGGCTGTGTTTGCTTACCCGACCGCTGGCGCTTATCTAGCCTCCAATTGGCGCCCGCACCCTCTGTGGCCGGCTCCCTCATATGCCGGGCACCTCCAGGAAACGGGGGGCCGGTTGCACCTCTAACGCCAAGCGTTAATGTATTTTGCACGGAACTGACGTGAAAAGACCATTTGCGAAGTGTTTGACGGATCTGATTGTTCTGACGGCTCGGTGTGCGTCTGGGCGGTTCTGACACCGCGGTGTGCCATGTGCAGTGTGTCTCTGACGGCTCGGTGTGTTGTTCTTCCAGCGGCTGTTCAAGGTGCCCGACATGGAGCCGGGGCCGCAGATCCCGTTCAGCCGCGTCAACCACAACAAGTACATGGTGACGGACCAGGTGGCCTACATCGGTGGGTACTCGGCCGGGCCGGCTCTCCAGGCGCTCACTGTGCAGTGCTCAGAGTCCAGAGCGTAGGTTTCTGATCTGCAACCAGGCCTGCTAGAGAGTCTAGTTATCCATATTGATCCTAGCGCCCCCAAGTACTGACTCGAGCTAGACGCCCAGCGTCCAGTCAGCAGATCAGCGGAATGATTCTGACATGGCCTCTACTTCTGTCGCCCCATGTATCTACTTCCGACCTCGCCTTCTTATCTGTCGTCTCAGTTCTCTCCTTCTCCCTTTCCCTCTCTCCCCTCCTTCTTCTCTCGCTCCATTACCCTGTTATCTGTGTGAGAGAAGTGAAACTGACGTCCCCGGCGCCGACAGGGACGTCCAACTGGTCGGGCGACTACTTTGTCAACACGGGCGGCATCGGCCTGGTGGTGAACTCCAGCCGGCCCGGCGACGACGACTCTGTGCGCGGCCAGCTGGCGGCCGTGTTCGAGCGCGACTGGGAGTCGGAGCACTCTGCGCCGCTGCAGGCCGCCGCCAGACGGTAACTGCCCGCCGCACCCACCGGCACCACACCATGACAAGGCCCCGCGCCGCTGACAACATTCTACCGGGACTGCTGGATCTCAGTAGCTGCTAACGTGGTAGGATTCCGACTGTACCATTTTTGGACAGCTATCAGTATTTCCGGTCTTTGACTTTACACTGCGATTGTGTATTCATGGGACTCTCATTAACTATTGAACCTATAAGCCAAAGTTATCTCAGTGGCAGCTGGTAGTGGCACGGACTTTAACCGAGCCATGATGCATGCAGTGTTCCATTGAGTGTGTGTGCTCCGCTAGCGACTGCCGGTTTCTATCTCTAGTATCTCTCACCGGATCGTTCCATATCTCGGGGTTCCGATTCTCCGACATTTCGCAGCTGCAGAAGCAGGGATTGTCTCGGGCGCAATGTGGCAAATCAAATGGCCTATTTTATTGGGGAATTTTTGTATTTACAATACAAGGGTGTCCATAACTTAGACTGTTTGGGTTATCGAAGCTGAGTGTGGGCCACGCACGTCACAGTGGTCGCCGGGAGCGGGCTGAGGCGGCGCCATGGGTGGGTGGGGCGCGGAGGACGGGGAGGGAGGCGGACCGGGCGGGGCAGTCCAGCTGCGTCCGGCTGAATCTAGATTATGGTGTAGTATCAGCTGGGCATTGCATAAACACTCTGAAATACATCTGAATCCTTCAACAAATCCCGAATGTCAATAACTGTGGCTACGAATAATTCGTCAACACAAACTTAAACACGCTTTTAACATCGACACATGTCAAACATCGGCCAAGTGGCGTTCAAACTGTCATCCTGAGCCGGCTCCTGTCGAGTTTTCTCACTTCTGGTAGACGACGCCCCGGGTGCCGTGCAGCGGCGGCTGGGTGCCCAGGCAGACGGCCCAGTACACCGCGTTGAACACCACGAAGAACAGCGGGTAGCCGAACACGCTCTTCTTGCCGTTGCTGGCCACGTCCCTGACGAAGTTGCGGACGATCTGGCGCAGGCCGCCCACCTGGTCGAGCTCGTCGCCGCTGCGCAGCCGGCTCAGGTCTCGCACCACCTCCTCCACCTCGTCGGCCTCTGCCTCCTCGCGCTCGGCCCGGCGCCGCTCCGTCACCACGCTCTTGCGGAAGATCTCCATGACGGTCTGGCGGCGCATCAGTCCGGTGAGCACGAACGTGCCGATGGTGTCGTCGCGTCGCGAGGCGCGCCCGTGCTGCCACACGTCCACCAGGCAGTCCACCACCGAGTAGAAGGTGAGGAACGAGCAGACGCACATCCAGACGTCGATGGCCTTGACGTAGCTGGCCAGCGGCAGGTACTCGCTGCCGGCGGCGAACAGCTCGACCAGCGTCAGCATGGTGGTGATGGTGAGCAGCATGCGGCCCTGGATCATCTCGATCGGCACCAGGAACGAGATCCACGCCACCACCACGAACAGGATCGACGGGATGTAGATCTGCATCACGTAGAAGAGCGCCTTGCGCTCGAGCACCAGGTGCATGTGCACCTGGGAGCGCTCCAGCGGCCCGGTCAGGTCGGAGCCCAGCTCCTCGGCCGAGAACTTCTCGGGCCGCACCAGGTAGTAGGAGAACTGAGTGAGCTCCGACTCGGCGTAGCTCAGCGGCTCGTACTCTGACCACAGCAGCTGCAGCTCGCACGGCGAGTAGCCGAAACTCATGACGGCGATGTCGCAGATCTGCGTGTCCATCGGGAAGTAGTGGTAGTTGAACGGACAGGAGAGCTCCAGCGTCATGTACTGGTTGGCGAACACGGTGCGGTTCATGTAGATGCGGAAGTTGGTGGTGGGCACGAAGATGACGGGACTGACGACCAGCGCGGCGTTGGGCACGTACAGGTCGGGCAGCCACAGTTTGTCCTTGATCGTGGAGGCGACCTCGACGTACTCGTGCTTGGACACGTTGTTCATGTGCGCGAACCGCGGCTCCTCCCAGGAGTAGCTCAGGTAGAGCGATATGGTGACCTGGCCGTTGTTGACGGCGCTGATGTCCGATACCTGGGCCGATATGGAGATGTTGGTGGGAGGCGCCAGCTCCTTGGAGCACCGGTAGATGTCGGCGGCGGGGGCGTGGCCGGCCATGACGGGGCGCCGGCGGCGCATGTAGTCGCGGTGTGTGAAGCTGTGCGCGCCCGGGCAGACCAGCGTGTGTAGCTGATGGCCGTCAGCGGCCAGCTCCCGGGTGACACTCTCCTTGAACATGTCCGCCTTATGTCGTCCCGGCAGCATCGAATCGGCTAGCAGCACCAGCTTCATGAAGACGAGAATTCCCACTGCTTCCATCTTCATTGTCCCTTGAATATGAGAGGTCACTTCTTTTTCTGACCACAATTGGGCTTGGCTAAGTAACCTGTTTACTTGGTCACTGGTTACTCAATGCAAACATAGCATGGATTTTATTAACATCAGCTTACCCCAATATCTGCTTGCCTTTTGCCGCTGAAATCACGCGACTTCTCCTTGACACATGCACAGTGCTCGAAGGTAATCACCGCGACCAGCACAGCCTAAGATTTGATCGATTGAACATCGTATGATAGCGAGAAGCTCTTGTTTCGGGAATTAGATCATATGATAGCGAGTAGCTACTGCTTTTGGAATTATATGAAAATGAACTTGTATTGCATGGTCCGAGGAAATAGCAAATTGAATATTTTTTGTACTCTTTGGTATGATTTGTTTTTTCCCTAATGATCTAGGATAGGTACGGCCCTGCTGAGATCTACCTTGAGTCTTTTAGCTAGATCTTAAAAGTTCCGTAAGTTGTTGTCACCAACCACGTGCATTAGCATTAATTAATGCCTTACTTAAGCAGATTCAATGCCTGATTAGGCATTGATGAGCTACTGATGCGCTTTGAGTCTCGCGGCATCCAGCAATAAAAAGTAGGTACATTTAAATAACCTGCTGTGGTCTTGGCTTTTTCGATCGACGAATAGGCCTCACAACACCCAACACCGGGAGTGGATATGCGTTGTCCTTGGCTGTATTGGTTGCTGGACTTACTGGCAGCTGCCATCAGTGCTGTAACCGAAACTTGTATGATAAGTCGGCTCGATGGAGGCATACTGCCGCTGCCCCTGTCACTGCCACTGTGTCTATCCTGAAGCTGCCGCTGCCGCCTCCACAGTGGACACCGCTGTGCAGACTGTGTCCGCTGTACCCCGGTTTTATCTCTGGGTCTTTTCCCTCCACCTCGGGCTGCTTGGTGCGGATTTGGTGTTCAGTGCCCTGTCTAAAAAAAAAAAACAGCCAGGCGTTCCCAGCGGCTGTATCGAGCTGGCACGTCGATTAACACTGATTACTGTGACTGCTGTGCGGCGGCGCCCTTCAGAGGCTCTGCGACCACAGACTCACGATTTTGGAAAACTGCCAGTGGCTTAGTTATGAGCCGGTGAGCACTCCTACCTATTGTTTACAATGGGGCCTGGAAAATGTCGGTCATGTGAATCCAATTAGCCCTCATATAATGCGGGGGCCTCGTGTCTCAGATGACGGGCTGGCCAGCAGTGCGGATTACAGGATTGTTTTGCACGATACTGTGGGCCGTTTTGCCTGTTTCTGTCGGCTCCGCCTGTGACGGTCAAAGCCCTTTCCAAGTTCCTACTCCCAGGGGCGGAGGCACTAAAAATGGCTGCGGGAGCACCGTGGCGATGTCCCTAATGTGTGGTCAGCACTAATATTGGCATTTCACCACAAATCAGTTTTCCTACACCACCCGACGTGATGTAGTCAGTTGATCCCCCTCCTCGACCGCATTCTCTCGTCTCGGAGCTAACAGCCAATGGGCTATGAGAGAGGACGCCACTGATCACCAACCAGGCTCTGACAGCCGGTACGTTTCAGTGGCCGCCACAGACCCGCTGCCCGCCCCATAGTTGTTGGAACGGGGAGGGGGTACCGGCGCCCCCCCCCCCCCCCCGTGTGTAGGTGTATGGGCGCCACTGGGAGCCGTGTCCGTTACGACCCCGTCCCGCACCGCTCCCCCGCTGGTCCCGGTACCCAGCCCCGCCCTCCGGTAGGGCCTCTGTCACTCTCCATCTGACACGCCGCAGCATTCGTCGTAGCACATGTATTGTTCTTTTGCACTGATAATATACAACACAGACAGAGAAGGTCAGCCGAGGTACGAACACGATTGTAAGAGGTCGAGCAGATTCAGACTTCAGCAGAGCGTTAGTATTATGGAGCGATGGATGGAAACTGGGGGTCAGCCGGGCGCCGTCCCTGAAGGGACATGGCGTGTCGGCCGCAATCTACATCCCCTGAAAAATATATCTGCATGGGATACTTGAATCGCGGGCGTATATAAAACCTCGTAACCTCGAGCTATCTAAGGCGGACGGATTCTGAACCTACATTCATCCGTGATAAAAACGTCACCGCGCTAAAAGGACGCGTGTTACGCAAAAACCGCTGAGGACAGAATCAATAATCAATATCATGGAAAGAGAGGCGCGTGTCCATGCAGCGACATAATGCGGTGGAGGCGCCGGTCAGCTGAACGGAACTCGATAATCAGGTGAACTCTGTTGTCCGAGGGCGGCACCGTTTACAGATCGCTGCCGACGTGTCACCGAGTCGCGAACAGCGCGGCCGCTGCGCCGGCGTGGTCAAACGCAGCGCCAGCGCAATGAATGAATGGACGATTAACATGGGGATGCACGCTCTATCACTACTGTCGTCGCACCCGTCACCGGTGCCATAAATCGCTCTAAAATACTCGTCGACACTAGTCAAACACTATCAAGCACAGAACTTGCAGTTGTGCAATATCAGGTCATATTGCAGTTGTGCAATATGACCTGATCAGCTACAGGATGCACTGGCACTCGTCGGTACCCGCGCGGCCGACCAACACGCGCGGAGAGTCGGCCCAGTCGCTCAGACGGCCCCCCCTCCGCCCCCCTCCGCCCCACGGAGCAGCGCCGGGGCGAGACGATACACTCGATTACGTGTAAAAGGATCACAGCTCGTCGTACTGGGCTGAGCGTGATGGGACCGCGCCGTCCGCGCGGTTCGGCTGCTCACGGGACGACGAGGGACTGAGAGCAACGCTGAGCAACGCCGAGCAGAACTGAGCCGATTGCGCAGTGTCGGCCCGGACGGAATAAAACGCGACGCTCTTCTGCCGCACGGAGTACACTAGGGCGCCCTAAGGCCCGGACAAAGCACAATGGGGCGCAGTGTCGTCCCGGACCGAGAACAATGGGGCGCAGTGTCGTCCCGGACCGAGAACAATGGGGCGCAGTGTCGTCCCGGACCGAGTACAATGGGGCGCCCTGCGATCCGGACGGAATTAACCGCGTGGCTCGGACGGAGTGGGACGAAGTCTGGAGCGTCGTGTTCACGACGTCAGGTTGGCGGCCGCCCGCCGGTCGCGCAGCCCGGGGTCCCAGCTGAGGCGGCCGCCCACCCGCCGGTCGCGGGCCCGGGGTCCCAGCTGGGGCGGCCGGTCGCGCAGTCCGGGGTCCCAGCTGGGCGGCCGCGCGCGCCGCCCGCTCCGGCCGCGGTGGCCGCCGGCGGCGCTCACTTTTCCGGCACGAAGCTGGGGTTCTCGGCGCCCGACCGGTCCTTCATGGAGCCGTTGGTGGGCATCTGGATCTTGGACCGCTCCGAGGCGGGGCACCACTCGTCCGTCGGGCGCAGCAGGTCCATCCAGGACTGTGAAGGGGGGGAGGGGGCGTCAGTAAACCGGGCCATATACGGGACTGGGGGGGCGTCAGTCAGCAGGTCCATCTAGGGCTGGGGATGGGGGGGGGGGCAGTCAGCAGGTCCACGGTTCCCCAACCCGCCGGCGTTAGACTTCCAGTGGAAGGGTATGCCTCACAGAGAGCCCGGGGCCTGCGGGGCTTCAGTTATACCACAGCGGCGTGAGGGAGGACGGGGTGGGAGCACGAACCGTATGTACCACCGCGACGCTGCTGCGCCAGCCGGCTACTTACGTATCCCTCTCCGCTCCGGACCTTCTTGTGGTAGACGTAGATGCCGACGCCGATCACGATGACAATGGGAGTGGCGGCCATGAGCCAGCCGAGCAGGTTCACCCAGGGCGGGAACTCGATCTTGGAGGGCCCCGAGCCGTACGAGGCCGGCTCGTACTGCACGAACGTCATGATCGTGATGAGCTGCGGGCAGACGGACGGGGGTCAGCGCGGGCGGACGGACGGACGGACGCGGCGGGAGGTCAGCGGGGGCGGGCGGGCAGACGGTCAGCGCGGACAGACGGACGGGCGGTCAGGGCGGGCGGTCAGGGCGGGCGGACGGGCGGTCAGCGCGGGTGGACGGACGGACGGACGGACGGACGGACGGGCGGGCGGGCGGACGGGAGGTCAGCGCGGGCGGGCGGGCAGACGGTCAGCGCGGGTGGACGGGCGGACGGTCAGCGCGAGTGGACGGGCGGACGGACGCGGCGGGAGGTCAGCGCGGGCGGGCGGACGGCGGGCGGACGGACGGGCGGTCAGCGCGGGCGGGCGGGCAGACGGTCAGCGCGGAGCTCACCTAACCAAAGTCAGCGTGAGGGCCATAGCGATATGCCTCCTTAACCCATGACGCTCCGAAGACCCTAACTATATACGACCTTGCGAACGACAGTTGGTACATGGCCTAAAAGCCGAGTTTGAAGACTATGCGAAAATGGCCCCGTCTGGAGGACATCTTATGATCGGGCCACGGTTGAGGCATTCTTTGTTTCGAGTAGCGGTGCTCACTGTTCAGTGCTCACGTTTCATATGAATAATACGAGTACTCACGAAGAGAACCAGCGGTGTCACGAACTTCCACATGACGAACCAGTAGTAGTAGAGGAACCTGGGGATCGGGATCTCCATCTCGGTCTGCATCTTCTCGAGCAGGTCTTCGGCGCCGTACAGCCAGGCCACGAGCACGACCTCGATCAGCGCCAGCAGCAGCAGCGACCACGAGCTGGCGTACCAGTCGATCAGCGTGAACATCAGGATGCCGCCGTTGGCAGTCATGCTGGAACAGAGGGGGCGCGGAGCCGGCGGTCAGCGATTGTGGGAGCCGACACTGGACAGGCCGCGACCGGGCGCTCACCACAGACCATAAAACCGTCCATGTCGGTCACCACCGACCTCCATGTCGCTCCGTGCAGCCCTGCCGGTCGCTCACCTGAGGCCGAGGATGAAGCCGATGACGGAGGTGCCCATCACCACGGCGGCTTTCCTGCTGCGCAGCTGCGGCCACTCGTCAAACAGCGCCGTCGTCAGCGTCTCCGTCATGGTGAACTGCGCGCCGACAGACGGGGGGGAGGGGCGTCACTCACTGCGCGCCGACAGACGGGGGGGGGGGCGTCACTCACTGCGCCGACAGACGGGGAGGGGGCGTCACTGCGCCGACAGACGGTGGGGGTGGGGCACTCACTGCGCCGACAGACGGGGGGCGTCACTGCGCCGACAGACGGGGGCGTCACTGCGCCGACAGACGGGGGGCACTCACTGCGCCGACAGACGGGGAGGGGGCGTCACTCACTGCGCCCACAGACGGGGAGGGGGGCGTCACTCACTACGCCGACAGACGGGGGGCGTCACTCACTGCGCCGACAGACGGGGGGGCGTCACTGCACCGACAGACGGGGGGGCGTCACTCACTGCGCCGACAGACGGGGGGCGTCACTCACTGCGCCGACAGACGGGGAGCGTCACTCACTGCGCCGACAGACGGGGGGCGTCACTCACTGCGCCTACAGACGGGGGTGTCACTCACTGCGCCGACAGACGGGGAGGGGGGCGTCACTCACTGCGCCGACAGACGGGGGGGGGCGTCACTGCACCGACAGACGGGGGGGGGCGTCACTCACTGCGCCGACAGACGGGGGGCGTCACTCACTGCGCCGACAGACGGGAAGGGGGGCACTGCGCCCACAGACGGGGGGCGTCACTGCGCCGACAGACGGGGGGGGGGCGTCACTCACTGCGCCGACAGACGGGGAGGGGGCGTCACTGCGCCGACAGATGGGGGGGGGCACTCACTGCGCCATCAGGGACTCGTCCGCGGTCGCCGAGCACAGCTCAGCGGGTTCGCACGCCGCGCTAGCTCATTGCCACTGTCCACCAGTGTGTGTAGTAGTTACATTGATGGTACACTGTAGGCACGGATGTGGCCGCGCGGACACTCACCTGCGAGTCCAGGCCCAGTGTGTGTAGTAGTTACATTGATGGTACACTGTAGGCACGGATGTGGCCGCGCGGACACTCACCTGCGAGTCCAGGCCCAGTGTGATCAGCATGGCGAAGAAGAGGATGGCCCAGAGCGGCGAGATGGGCATATGTACCACCGCCTCCGGGTAGGCGATAAAGGCCAGGCCCTGGCCGGAGGCGATCACGTCCTTCACCTCCTTACCTGCAGAGCCGGTCACAACGGGAAAAACGTCACAAGACTGAGCGCAATACATTTCTTTTTCAAGTTGAGGATGTAAATAGGCTAATACGACATGCTAATTATCCTATGATATGCTAATTATCCAACAAAAACTTTTCCGACACGCGGTACAGCATGAAAATGTGTTCGAAGTTGCGACGTTGGTCGTCTAATAAATAAATATGGTCATTTCAAAATGACTCCCAAATTATCTAAACAATTCCAGTATGTTGCCAGCCGTCCCTGGCCCCTGGCCACTCACCGAGCTGTTTGGCCATGAATCCGAGGATGGAGAAGACGACGAATCCGGCGAACACAGAGGTGGTACAGTTGGTGAAGGCTACCACGATGGCGTCCCTGGAACAGAACGGCGCAGGGATCGTGAGTGACGGACCCAGAGACAGACACCAGAGACGGACCAACAGACATCAGGGACGGACCCAGAGACAGACACCAGAGACGGACCCAGAGACGGACCCAGAGACGGACCCAGAGACGGACCCAGAGACAGACACACAGACAGACACCAGAGACGGACCAACAGACATCAGGGACGGACCCAGAGACAGACACCAGAGACGGACCCAGAGACGGACCCAGAGACGGACCCAGAGACAGACCCAGAGACGGACCCAGAGACGGACCCAGAGACGGACCCAGAGACAGACCCAGAGACAGACCCAGAGACGGACCCACAACCATCAGGGACGGACCCAGAGACAGACACCAGAGACGGAGCTAGAGACACCAGAGTCAGGTCCAAACACAGACACCAGACGGGCCCACAGCCACCAGAGATGGGCCCAAAGACACCTGAGGCAAACACTGGAGACGGACCCACAGACACCAGAGACGGACCGCGGCAGCACCACCATCTCATGGTCTCACGGTCGGCCGTTACCTCATACAGTTGTTTTTGAAGCGGTTGTAACTGGCCAGTGTGATCAGGCCGCCGAAGCTGGGCCCGAGCGAGTAGAAGATCTGCGTGGCGGCGTCGGCCCACACGCCGGCGTCCCCCAGCCGAGTCACATTCGGCGTGATGTAAAACTTGACTCCGTCCAGGGCGCCGTCCAGCGTGGCCCCTGCGGCAGCGCGCGAGCGCACACGGGTCAACGCCAGGGGGCGGGGTGGCCATCACCCGACAGGGGCCATCGTCAATGAGTCAGCACCCGGAGCGTCGGCTCCCCGCTCCGGGACAGGCCCCGGCTGCAGTTCCCCGCTCACCTCGGATCAGCAGGATGAAGAGCACGAAGTAGGGGAACAGTGCGGTGAAGTAGACCACCTTGCCGGAGCTCTGGACGCCCTTGATGAGGCACAGGCCCACTATCAGCCAGGCGGCCAGCAGGCACAGCGCCAGGTCCCACTTGAGACCGCCGAAGTCGGACCAGTCGTGGTCCCCCAGGCCCAACATGTAGTTCCTGCCCAATGGCAACATGAGATCAGACGAGAGCGAGGCTCCTCCTATTCTTTGTGAGATGGTACACCTACACTCCCTCCCATGCCATGCACCGTGCATATAGCGTAGCCGCATCGCACCAGTACCTACCTACTGTACCGCCGCACTTTAACAGCACGTGTTATTTTGTCCCGACAATCCCACGGTCGCCGACGACGGCCAGTTACATACACGCAGGTCGCAGTACCAACATTCATGACCGACACAATGTCTGAACTGAATGAAAACGGCGGACGCAATGCGTGCATGGATCAGATATTGTCGCTATGCAATGCAGTCGGGTATCGGGTATGCAATCGGATATGGTCTCCATCCAAGATGTCCGGGACGGTCTACTCACGTGTAGTAGTCCTCGCTGGCGCTGATGCGGTTGCCGATGTCGTCATAGCTCTTGATGATGCTGCTGTTGGTGCTGTTCATGCAGTGAGTCTCGTTGATGAGCGTGAACTTAAAGTTTTCGCAGTAGTCGCTGATTGGGTAGCAGGTTTTGTTCCAGAACATCTCGGTGTTGCCGCTGACGTTGAGGCAGTGCTGCTCCTCAGCCACCGTGAAGCAGTTCTGGGTGTTGTACCTGAGCGACGGAGAGAGAGTGGCGGCTGAGCGACGGAGATAGAGAGAGAGAGAGAGTGACGGCTGAGCTCAGACCAGATCAGCGCTGAGTACCCCTACCTCTTACCAGGCTAATGGGTCAGAGCTCAGCGAGGTCGGTGGTTGTCAGCGGAGGTCATTAGAAGTCGGCGGAGGACAGTGGGTGTAGCAGAGAACAGAATAGCTCAGCGCAGGCAGCAGAAGTCAGCCGTGCAGGCACCATTGGTCAGAGAGCAGGAAGTGTCGGTTGAGGTCAGATGAAATCATTAATAGGTCATTGGTGATCAGCTGAGGTCAATAAACGTCAGCTGAGGTCAATTCAGGAATGTCTGACTTCTGAGCTGCCACCATGGCAGGCAGTGCCTACCGTTTTAGGGGATTCTGTTAAATTCGTCCCCATTCGGTAGTGAAACATTATGTTCGAAACAAATCTAAGTGGGGCCGATGTCCCATTGAATCTCTCTGGGCCTGTGGCTGGGACCGGCACCCCCCCCCCCCCCCCCAAACGCCCGACTCACTAGCTGGAGCCCGTGAACTAGCCCCGGGGGAACTCACTCGCTGGAGCAGGTGGACCAGCCGAGCTGCGAGGTAAACGAGGCAGCCGTGTAGAAGATGGTCCACGCGATGATGAGGTTGTAGTAGCACACGACCAGGAACGAGATCACCAGCATACCGTAGCCGAGACCTGCCGGTGGGCAGAGGGGCTGAACGACGGCGGCACACGGCGCGTACATGAGTCACCGGAACAAGGCAACGATCAGTAGCGCATACACAGACACCGGCGAATGGCCTGGTGAACAATGTCCCCGAACGAGACGGGCCTTTGTGTTATAGTGGCGATACGTTGATGTACGGTGTTGTGGAGGGAAGGGCTCACGAATGGGTAGCGGTTTGTGAATCAATGGCCAACCAACATGTCCTCTCGCCATCCTACTACCAGGCCGGAGCGATAACACCGGAGCAGTAGCGGACCACAGCCGGTCGGGTCAAAGTGATTTAGCCACTAGCCGACAGTCTCAGTCGACCGCTCCGATTCACTTGGCGGAGCGTACGCGACGCCAAACCACACAGAGTCTTCTCAAAGCCAGCCTGATAATCTACAAGTATTTCGCTTCTCTATTAAAACGGCGTCCAGCACTGTTAAGATTTGTCATTCATTCATACTCGTTGTCCTTGCGCCATGCACTGCTGGTTACTCGGGGAGCGCAGCACTCGGCGTCCTGCAGTCACAGCTCGCGGCCCCGTCCGTGCTTCAGCTGGGTAAGACCGGAAAACCGGGCTGTGAGGCTCCAGGGCCTCCAGCGGCCCAGAACACCGGCCGGCGCCGGCGTCTGTCCGAGGCCCGGGCGGCCTGCGGCGCGCAGCAATTAGGTCCCCGGCTGAGGGCGAGGGGTGACCCTGGGACCGGCGGCAGTGACGCTCGAGCTGCGCCGGCTCCTGGGTTACGCCGGCTCGACAAGGGCATGTGGCGACCGCCAGCCCTCGTCACGGCGCAATGGTTGTTGCAGAACAGACGTTCCAGAGCTCGGGGTTAGTCGAACTAACTTCCGGCATTTACCTACGTAGGTAAGCACGGGTTTGCTTACGTGCCCACCAGCTTTTCTATTAGCGTTGACAGTGGAACGACAAATTATGAAATGTATGCATCATGAAATGTTCCATTCATTCACTCATTCATTCATTCATTCATTCATTCATTCATTCGTTCGTTCATTCATTCATCAACTCATTCATTCATTCGTTCATTCATTCATCAACTCATTCATTCATTCAATCTTTCATTAGTCACTCACTCACTCACTCACTCACTCACTCACTCACTCACTCACTCACTCACTCACTCACTCACTCACTCACTCACTCACCATTCAGACACAAGCACACGCACCGGCACGGCCCTGGTTTAGGGCCGGAGGCGGCGTTTTATGAGCTGCTGCGGCGGCGGCGGCGGCGCGCCGCACGGAGAGCGGCAGAGGGAGCCGACTGATCCGCCTCTGCCGCACAGAGAGCGGCAGAGGGAGCCGACTGAGCCGCCTCTCTCCAGCCGTACCCGGCTCACGGCAGCGGGGAGCGCTCACCAGCCGGCGAGGCGCCGAGACCACAGCCCAGGCGGCCCGGCTCACCGGAGACCGCAGCGCCGCATGGAAAGATAGCACGACACTCGGCCTGAACCGAGACGCGGGATCCGAAATCGCTAATACGGCGTGTGCTGATGCGTTCGTTCCGGTGGTATACGGGCTCTGGAGCGAATGACACACGATCGGTTTTTACAAGACCTCGTCTCGGTCGCTGTTGTCATTGCTGCTCTGTGTGGTTTGAATATACGGCACGGCTACGGCTGCCGTTCGCCGTCCTGTCCCGAGTTCCGGTCACGGCGTTTTACATACCACAGCGAGCGAGCAGTGATTGTCAGTGGCGCTGGTGCTGCCGCCTCACGTGTGTTGGCTTGGTGCAGCCCGTTGCTGCAACGGTGCACCAGACAGCACGCCGCGGCCCTTTTGCAACGCCACCAGACAACGTCCCGGCTGTGCTGCTCGGATCCAGCTCCGCGGGCGTGATGGGGGCATATATTATATACAGCAGACCACATACGGGGCACGGGCTCACCTGAGAACAGCGGCGCCAGCTTCTGGAACAGCTTGTTGGGCCCGAGGCTGGCATACTGGCCGATGGTGAGCTCCAGGCAGAACAGCGGCAGGCCAGCCAGCAGCAGCATCAGCACGTACGGGATCAGAAACGCGCCTGCAGCAGACAGAGCATGGTTAGACGGCTGACGGCTGACGGTTAGACGGTCAAACGGCTGGGGACAGACAGGGCTCCTGGTCAGACGGCTGGTCAGAGCATGATTAGATGGCCCGGTCAGCTACCGACGGCTGATTATGACGGCTGGTCAGACAGAACGACTGATTGAGTTAATCCTATGGTCATTATCTATAACTCCGTGGTGATGCTTCAGCATCACCCACGGAGAGAGAGAGAGAGAGAGAGAGAGAGAGAGAGAGAGAGAGAGAGAGAGAGAGAGAGAGAGAGAAAGAAAGAGAGAGAGAGAGAGAGAGAGAGAGAGAGAGAGAGAGAGAGAGAGAGAGAGAGAGAGAGAGAGAGAGAGAGAGAGAGAGAGAGAGAGAGAAAGAGAGATCAACTCTGGACAAACGCTGACCGCAGAGTGACTCCTGCTCGCGGGTGGGACGATATTCATTATTCACGGGGGAAGTATCGGTAGACACGTCAGATACGTTGGCATTCCTCCGAAACTGTCGGCGCCTCTGCCGGGCCGGGGACCGCTGGGAATTCCCCGGCGTCGTACCTATCGTCCCTCTCCCCTCCCCTGCCCTCTGCCGACGGTGAGTCATCTGCCCTGGGCGGGTGGCGGACCGATCAGACGCTGTGTTTGGGAGCGGCGTCCACGCACGCTGCGGACCGGAGGGCGGGCCCCTGCAGGAGGCCGCTGGGATCCGAGCCCGGTGCAGCGTCGCCCGCGGACCATGGTATTGGGTCAGTGGCGCCGGTGTGTGTGTGTGTGTCAGACGCCTACAGCGGCCGTGCAACAGATCCGTGCATCGCTGCCTCTAATTTAGTCCCAAGCCGATGCACCGACTTGTCCCAATCATTCCAAAACGTGCTCGCTAACCATCAACCTTTGCCACAGCCCACGGGGAGGACATCACTCTAACTGTTGACGCTCGGTTCGCAAGGAAAATGCAATAGGTTTGACTCGAAGAGAGGTTGTGACGTCTCAACTTAAATTCGTTTTAATTACACTTTCCTTAAAGAAGACTGGAAAAGCTACGGCTCGCTTAGATGATTACGACTTTTGCTACTTCGAAACCTCTTCGTTGGTGAGAGGTACATGGATAAATTTAGCCGTACCTATAGTGCAAGTTGCATGTCCTCAGCATGATATTCAAAATCGACGACCCTTCGAGTTCGCATTGCTAAAAACCAGGCACCTAAAAAGTAGGTAAGTCGTTGAAAGGATCTCTCGTCATATGCTAGACTGTCTTAATTTGTTAAGTCCTATGAAAGTCTAGTGACTGACATTTGGGCCTAGATAATATGTCTGCTCGATAAGGAACTTCAAACTGCAGTCTGCACCACTAACAACGACTCAGTTGGATATAGGCACTTCATCCCAGATCCATTGAGCCAGTCCCTCAGCACCGGGAGTCCAACGGTCTACTAATCGAGCCAAGAGACCGCGGACTGGCGCTCTATACCAAGGGTCGCTGAGGCGCTCGCTCACCTCCGCCGTTCTTGTAGCAGAGGTAGGGGAAGCGCCAGACGTTTCCCAGGCCGACCGCGTAGCCGATGCAGCTGAGCATGAAGTCGCACTGGGAGCCCCACTCGCCGCGCTCGTGGTGCTCGGCCACCGGCGCCTCCACGGCCGCGCCATTGCTCTTCTCCTTATCGGCCGTCTGTCGGTATACGTAACAAAGGTCAGAGCGGGTCACACGGGGTCATCCTCGGCCGTCTGTCGGTACGTAACAAAGGCCACAGCGGGTCACACGGGGTCATTGTAGGCCGTCTTTTGGTACGTAACAAAGTTCAGAGCGGGTCAAAACTGGTAATACTGCAGGTCATTGTCGACCTCTGTTGGTAGATAACAAAGGTCAACAAAGAGTCAGATATAGGGGCACTGCCGGGTACCGAAATAAATAAACCCATAAATGCAAAGTCACATGTACCTAGCCAGCTATACCACGTAAGGTCATTTGGGCTTAGGCGGAGGTCTATTCAAAGGAACTGTGCAATGCGCATTACCCAAGCAATATGCACTTTCAGGCGCCACCAGATTGCGGGGGACGCTCTCTGTTGGGGTGCGTGTTTGTGACTGCGTGTTCGGGTGCAGGTAAACGTTTACGTCTCAATCATCCGGGCAGCGCTGAACTGACCATACAGCAGCGGCTGAACTGAACTATACAGCAGCGGCTGAACTGCGCTGACGCTGTACGTGGCCATCTTTCGAGTGCGGATGTCGTTGTGCGCAGCCCTCACCGCCGCGCATATCTCGAGAGAGAGCAGTGGAAGCTGTTCAGACCGGTAGGACCGGCCGGCTGGCGACTCCGTGAGCGGCCATTAATGCGGCGGCACCCTCCCGCCACGTACGCGCTACGGCCGCCGCACCGGCTGGATCCCAATTCCAAACCGGCGGGGTGGCGAGCGCCGGCTACGGTACTCGTGTCCGAGCATCAGACTATATCACGCGCATGGTTGTAGAACAACGCAGCTGCACTCTTACAAAGCTAGTAAGATACCTACGCTTAGTTACGCCGCCTCACGTCTGCACACCTACTAGCGAGCGCTCAGAAGCACGGGCCATGGTTTATTTAGGGTGGAGGTTTTTTATGGCTGCGAGTGGCTCCGTCTCGCCCCGTACTTTTCCGTCGTCACCGCGGCGCGTGCACGTGCCGGGGAGTTCACGGCCACCGACTCCCACCTCAACAGCAGCCCCAGATGTCGGCGCACGGGCGGCGGCAGCGGCAGCGGCAGCCGAGCCTGCACTGCCGGCGGCGGCGCGGCGAAAGGGCTGCGGCATACCGAGCGCATCCCACTCGGATCCAGTGCGTCCGCCGACATTCCCTGTCCTCGCGTCTAGTAAACCATCCCCTCTTTCTTAAAAATGTGAACGGCGCCGACTAAATCAATTTCATTATGATCAATCAACGTTACAATCTTCCTGATAAATACCTATACTGTGCATGTGGTATATCACTTCGCCAGCCGCGGTACTCACCGTCTGCCTGCCGCACCAGACATACAACGTTCGGCGGACTGTTCAAACGTGGCTAGAGTTTGGACATAAGGTTATAATGCATTGCCTATGTATATATTGTGGATCCTAGGCTCCCGTCTATGTACAGCATGTTAGCCGCGTGGGCCCACGTGGTTGCGGTGAATGTCCAATTGCTCACGTACCTATATGTGTACTTGTAGGTATGCCTGAATTAGCCCGCGGTAGTTGAAAATGATTGAAGTAGTATCCACATACCTACCGCCTATGTTGTCGACTAAAAGGGACGAAGGCGCTGTAGACAGGTGGGCTCGACGATACGTATATGTTCTTTCAGGAAAAAGGCAATGAAACATGCACGATGAGCTAATCTGGTAAAAAGGCTTAGCTGATTCAACAGAGACATGCCGAGCTCACATATTGTCCCGATTTTTTTAACGATAAAATAGGCCGTTGCATGTATGCAGGTGCCCCTACAATATATGCCTCTGGGTTCTTTCACTGGCATCTCTGCTGGGATTTTCCTGACAATGATTCATTCGTTGAGGCACGTGCCACCGCTGATTTCCAGGAGTTCTCCGACCCGTACTTATTACATATACCTACAGAACCGGTGGCTTCAAATTCCACATGTAACTGCCGTAGCTCACCACTTTCTCGTCGGTGCCGTATCCCGGACAGTCGGCGCCGTATCCCGGACAGTCGGTGCCGTATAGCTCACCAATTTCTCGACGGTGCCGTATCCCGGACAGACTGTGCCGTATCCCAAACCGGCCAACTGTCGGGCCGCCAGTGGACCCACCATAGCCCGGGTCGGGGACGCAGCTATATCTGTGACGGCTCGGGATCCACCGAGTCGGCTGTGACAGTGGCTCGGGATCCACTGAGTCGGCTGTGACCGCGGCTTGGGATCCACTGAGTCGGCTGTGACAGTGACTCGGGATCCACAGAGCGGCTGTGACCGCGGGCCGCGCTCGGCCGTGATTTGGGCTGTGACCGGCCGCGGGCGACTGACTGCAGCCGCGCGCAGCCCGCCCGGTGTCGGCTGACACAGCTGCGTGTCACACAGACGACACACGTGTTCCGCGGCGCCTCTGACCGTGCTCACCTCCGCTCACAGGGCGACGGGCGTGTAACCGACCGGCGGACAGCTGCGGCGCGGGGTCATGGCCCGCACAGGTGGCAGCGGCAAACCGCAATGGGTGCCCGCCACCTGTACTGTGCTGTGATTGTTACATAAATTGGATAATAATGGCTACCACCGACCACGTAGGAACCATGGAGCAGACCTACACGCATTGGTTATGTTTAGTGCTGTTTAATCCCAATGAGGGTTTATTTCTAGGTAGCCTGGCGGTGAAACCGGTCGATTTGGTGGACTCGACTCCGCTCCCCTTCTGCGTCCCACGCAGTCTCACAAACTCTGAGGGACGCAACATGATAATCAATAATCACCCTGAATCGATCCGTTGGGTTCTATACGCATCTCTAGGCATGGATGACTTGGTTTCAAGAGACAGTTACTAACGTCTCGGGTCCTTTACCAGCGTGGTGTAGGACACATTAATGTAACACGCGTGAGCTGTAATGTATGCGATCCTCTGTACCCATCTCGAGGACATTTCTGCACGTTAGCGCAGTGCAGTCGACAGACATCAAAATTCACCGTCCCAATCCAGGCCGAGGTCGAAGAAAAGACTGCATAATGCCTGATCGGGCGCCGGCGCCACGGCCGCGTATCTGTGCACAGGTATGCGGCCGTGCACAGGTGGGTCAAGTGCTCTGTGCCAGGGCCTCGCTCTGTGCCAGGACCTTGCTCCATGTGCCAGGACATTGCTCCGTGCCAGGACCTCGCTCCGTGCCAGGTCCTCGCTCTGTGCTAGCACCTTGCTTCATAGGCGAACGGTAACGACAGCTGTACGTGATCACCGTAACTATTCGTACAGAGCAGACTTGTTCAGCTGGCAATGCCCGCGACGGAAACAGTTTCACATCATTAGTTCACTCATTATCAAATTGCAATACTGATGCATTCATTTTTAATTTGAGTTGAAGGTTCAGCGACATGCCGGTAATTCGTGTGGCCCTTTGAAATGTTGAGCATACCCTACCGTTGCCCTACCGAATAAATTACTTATCACGCAGGAAACACACGCTGGGGCGTGATAAGCTGGACCCTAAAAGAAGCCACTTTGGGCGTGACCCGTATGCGTCGCACACATACCTACATTGGGCGAACGAGTGATCATGGGAGCACTCGACAGAATTGTCTTTATCTTTTGTCACTCTCAATGTCACCGCTAAACAAGGCTAGCTCTGTCATCGTTTCAGAGATGCGCCATGACATCGTTCCGCACTTTCAGTGTGCCAACAACACAGGGATGAGATCATATAGGAAGAGCACTAGAATAGCGATGGGCCGCAGAACATGGGCAGGGCAGCAGTGGACATTGGATTAAGGCCAGAGAACATGGGCAAAGGGCAGGGCAGCAGTTATGTTCAGTGGGTCGGAGAACAGGGAACAAGGGAAGTGGACAGTGGACAGTGGCTGGGAACAGAAAGTGGGCACTGGACAGTGGCCGGGAACGGACAGTGGCGGGGAACGGACAGTGGCGGGGAGCGGGGAACGGGGAAAGGATAGTGGCGGGGAACGGGGAACGGACAGTGGACAGTGGCGGGGAACGGGGAACGGACAGGGCAGGACAGCGGCCGTTGACAGGTGGATTAAATTGACTGAGGGCCTGGATAACCTGCAGTGCAGTTATGGCTGATGAACGGGACGCTCTGCGGCCCGGTGGCTGAGCTCGGAACGGACCGCGGACCCGCGGTGTGTGACGTGTACCGCTGGATGAGGATGACAACCGGTTACCGCTGGGTGACGACCGGGCACCGCTGCCGCCGGCCGGGTCTATTTATAGAACGGCGCATTGCACCACGCAGGACTGGCCATCAGGGCCGGAGCTGCGCAGACGGTCTCCGAATCACTCAGTCCTTCAGACGTTTCACCCCGGGACGGGAGGTGGGCCAAGGTCCGCGTGGCCCTGGGGACCGTGTAGGACCGGCGCGGGGAGTGGGTACCGGGTGTTGGCAGTCACGCCGTCTCTCCGTACTCACAGGACGGCCGAGGGGTGGCGACTGCATACCAATGGCGAGAGGCGAGTTCAGTGGAACAGCGCCGGGGTGACGCCAGCCTCTCCTGTCCTCACACCCCTCCCTTCCACCTCACGCCCATCCAAACACTTCAAACCACATTACGGCAGACCGGGTGAAAGGCTTGCAGCGGACTGCGAGCCGACAGTCACAACCCGACCAGACCCGAGGTCAGTTTTACCAACAGAAAATATCGCCTTCTGCCGGTGTTGTTACTTCAAGTTACATCCGAATTCCGCCATCCACTCGAATAAATAGCTAGGTACTAATATGAAAAATTCACTTATCAGTTATCAGGCGGCCCAACTGATTTTACTGAACTGAACCCAACAACTGACAACGGCCGCCAATTTTTTGTTGGTAAAATTGGACTCTGAACCGACCGCGCCAATCAGAAGCTAACTGTGCACCGTCACCCACCATATGGTCAGCGGCCGGTTGGAGCGCGTCTGCTCCGGCCGGCCGGCGGCTTTTTAGAGAGTAGTCGGGCCGGCGCCGGAGGATCCGGCTCCTGACCTCGTCTCTGGCACAATG